GATTCAAACATTCAGCCACCTACATTGACATCCCAACTTGGAATATCCAAGAATTTGCTTAAATGCTCTGCATGATGGGTTGAAAAGAGAACAAATGATTTGGCATCAGTTTTATTTAATACACTGTAAATCTGTTTACTGATTTGCAGTTTATTTTCATATTAATGAATACATCTCATTTTCCAAATACACTCCGTCTTTTAATAACACTAACCAAATTCATTAAATGCAGTAGTTGTTTTTTTAATGCCTAAAATAAGCTCCACTCTAGATCAACTTCCACAACTCCATGTCTTAAACTTTTCATTTTAATTATGTTGGTAATATATGCCTTTGTAAGTACATGTTTCATAAATACCACAACTGAATCATAATAAAAATTTCTCTAATAAATGTAATGTGGTATTGCCCGCAACTTCTAGAGAAATTTAAAACACGCTTTTTTGAAATATTACTCTGCTCTATTAGGTTTGATAAATTATTAGTTATTGTGAATCGAATTTATCATCCACAACCTTTGGAATAAAAGAAACGCTGATATACTACTACTATTTTATGGTATGATGACGACTCAGTTGACTAACACTGTGAATTTTCATACCACAAACACTCATTTACCTTTTCATAACATTATCAAACGTCTACACTGTATTTATTTCTGTACTGTACTGCAAAATGGATAACAATTCTAGTGAATTTTATGTAGCTAACATAATATCTCCTGAAGAATTAATAGACACTGTTTTTACGAGTTAATCACGGACTGATATCAGTTAGAGAACCAATGAAAACCAGGGAGTACTGGACAGCTGTTTCATCCTAGTTTGGGAATCATCGGCAGTACGCAACCACTGGGATTTGAACCAAGGACCTTCCGGTTACAAATCTACGCTAATCTACGCTGCACAATTTCAGCGTAGCTTATCCTTAGTCCAGGGGTTTCAGGTAAAACAGCCGTCTCCAGTACATTCACCATGTGAGACAATGTTGTTGGATGTGAAGAATAAAATAACCCTGTATGGTATTTTTTTCGGTCTTCGAGAAATGAGCAGCGTTAGGTTGAAAACCTATTATAAAAAATGTGCACGAGTATCTTTCTTAACCCACAGACATAATCTAATGATAATAACAATAAGAAAATAAGATGCACTGTCTCTGATGGAAATTCAGGCATCCCAGTGATTCAAGCGGGCAGTATAAAATATGCTTATTTCCCTTTGTCACTGAAGTTCATTTAATGGCTAAACAGCTTTATCCTCTGTATAGTAGTAGATCACGATGTATTTTCTATTGATCCCATTGTTTTCGATCAAAATAATTGGAAAAATTTCTATACCTTTGTGCTCTACTTATCTTATGGATTTTCTTTGTTAGTGAAAACAATGACATATTTTTTCTGTTGTTATCTGGTTTTAAAAAAATGGTATATATGGATATCTGTTTCCACATCCTTATTTAATTTGAATATTTGGTTTAGAAATAGGCACAATTTTCAATCACTAATTCTAGTCTATTAGATTTTGAGTAAATTTCACCACAAAAGGATGTCAGATAGGGAAATAATAGAAACATGCGAACACTTGATATTCATTTCATTAAACTTCAGGGGATTTCATAATCGTAAAACCGTAACTTCGCGTGATGTAAGTGTCAACAACAGTTACTTTTCTAGGCAAGCACTTTGTTATTCAACCATTTAGTCGCATTCTATACAGCCGTGAAATTATGGTAAAGTCACCGAAGTTGATTATTTCGTCTAATTCTTCGTTTCTTTTAATTACCGAAATTTCAGCCATCCTATAACACTTTGACAGTTCGGTGACATCACAGAGTAAATTTTAATTACATACAATTTTAAATGATCCCTCCTTAGATCTAGATTAAAAATTAAGCATCACTATCAATAAAAACTTACATTATAGTTCGTTTTTATTTGAAAGAGAATAAAGTGGTGATCAAATGATATTAGAAAGAAATGACAGGATTCAGGTGACTATTCATAATTCAAGTGAACACCAACAAAATTAGGAAGTTCAAGAGACATTACACTTCATTCAGAATGCTTGTGTTGAAGTAACTAAAACGAAAAATATTTGGTTATATCCACTGAATAATTACATAATTATCTTATGAAAACAAGCTGTCGTATTTATTGTCACCTTTTTATGCCTACTATCGCATTTAGCATAACCAGGAATGGTTGCTGAACAAAGAATACTCTTTCCGATAACTTCATCATCAGGCTCTACAGTTATATATACATTATAGTGAATGAATGAATTAGTGTTATGAACAACATTAATGTTTAAATAACATGGAATCAATATTATCAACAGATTACAGTTGAGTAGCATCAACATAACAATAAACTGAATGTCAGAAAAGTTAGGAAAGATAATGTTACAAATTCGTGAATTTATAGTCTCTACTGAAGGCCAGGGCGGTAGTAGGGGTTGGACTTGCTTCTTTTGCACACAGAGCACTGGTTGTTTGAGGCGAATTGCAATGGCCTGTGCTGTTTGGAGCATGTGGTGCTTCGATGTTTTTCGCAATTTATTAGGCACCCGGTAGATGATAGAGAAGGATTCTTCAATACTGGCTTTGTGGCCGGTTTGCACCAGATGGTCTAATATCGAACTGTTGATGGTTTTTACTACACCCTTACTTAGCCATAGTGGGAGATGTTCTCGAGCACGAAAAATCAAGTTCCTAGAGCACCGGCCGATATAACTCACTCCACAAGTGCCAAGCTACTAGGCTCCGTAAACTATGTGATTCCACTTCCTGGTGTCACACAGACACACAAAAAAAGAGACCAACTGCATAACATTTTCATTGTAACCCCAGTTGACATCACTTTAAATGGGAATCTCATTCACACGCAATTTATTGCTGAGAAACCACGTAACACAACCGTTGCGTACTAAGTAAGTTTTCATAAATTATTTCCCTACTTAGAACACCTTGTAGAATATTCAGTCGAAGAAAACAGTATTTACTCCTGGCCAATAAACAAATCTATATGGAATTGTATGCTATCATAGTGTCCATGTTTTATGCATATATTGAGCGTTACAGTTTTTATCGGTTGGCTGCAACTGAAAGTGCATGAAGTATGTAGTGTGGAATTTATTTTTAGGAAGAATGAGTGGTTTCTACTTGACTTCCTAAAATTACACAACATAAATATAATGTCCTGATGCTGTCAACCCACCTGTATTAACATGTGCGTCGGTGGCACAGCAGTTAGGACTCTCGCCGACCATGCTAATGGTCCGGGGTTCGATCCTCTGCCGACACACACCTGATGTCAATTAGTCGGCCTGCAAAATTTGGGCTACCGATATTACATGCTGAAAATTCCATACTTGTACCAAAGATACGGTGTGGAATGAAGCTGTAATCAAAAATTAGAAAAAACCAAAAAATGAATACCCAATGCTTTGTACTGAAAAGTTTCATGAGGACGGTTAAAAATATACACACAGTATTAATCAAACTTTTGATCAGAAAACTTATAAAAATGGTCAAACTGGAGTTGATATTGAGTCTTTTCTTCTTGAAGTCATTTGCGTGTTTCCTACTTGAATGGTAAATTGTAAATGGTGTAATGCCTTGGAGTGTGTTTTGGCAGTTTAGTGGTGGAACGTTTAACGAATCACACTGCAGTTTCGAGTTTAATTCCTGACCGTTGCACTCTTAAACCTCACCTGGGGTTTGCTAGCCAACAGTAGGGCAGGAAAAGAGGCAAGTCTACGCGTGAGACTGGCTGCCAGCCACTGCTGCAACTTCAAAGCTTGGAGACTAATTTCCCATTCCTAATCCAAAACAGTGGGAAAAAGATGCTTTGGAGTGAAGATTTTAATCTTTATCATGTGAATAGTGACATTTTTGGAGATCCATTCATAAAAGATCCATTCCACCGGTTACAGTACAAACTAGTATTTAACTGAACAAGAATGGATTATCTCACTAAGATGAAATTATGTTCCGAATGTATATCTTTTCAATTAAAAATAACACTCTAAAAACCAGTTTTTGTTTTCCATTAGCAAAAAACAAAGTATGATGAAACAGTTGGAAATAGAAGAATACAACTTTTGTGAATTGATTTACATTTGGTTATTTGTGTGTGTATGTGTGTGTGTGGGTGGTTGGGTGTACGCATGTTTTGTTTGTCCATGCAAACGACACTTTTGTTAAACAGTTGAAACAGTAATCACTAATCTTCTTTTAGCAAGTACGCATTTGTATGCGTTTGTCCTTAAAATGAAGCCTTTAACTAAAAGTTTACGGAGAAGGAAAGGTTATGTTAGAAATGTCAGTTTCTATTTCTAAGCAAACTTGTTTCAGGAATGAACTATCGCCTTAGTTATTGTTACTAATACCAGAGTTTAAAGGTAATTAATATAAATGTATTCGTGTGTAAACAGCCTACACAAAATATTTCACGTGTATTAACAAATATTCATTCGATGATTTCTCTTACTCTTCTACTCTTTCTTCACGAAAACGGAATTATTTATTTACGTAGAATATACGAGAATAGGAAAGAAGATTCATTTTAATTTTTTATACACTTGCGTTTGGTTTAAGTAGCTGTAATTAAGATACTAGCGATTTCATTTTATACAGGGCAAACGGATTTAATTGTAATTCGATATTCAATATTCAGGATTCAAAGTACATTGATTGGAAGATGTAATCCATATTAACCAAAAAACACCTTTAACTACTAATGAGTAGCAAGAGTAAAAGTACAAAAAAGACAGGTGTTTCAAGATTAACTCTTTTTAAGGTAAGTAAATTTTAGATTTTGCTTCTCAAGGTGTAATTTGTAGGCACCAGTGTGCGACTGCAAACTACTAATTGAGTTTTCAGATACTTATATAATATCTCATTATATTTGATCTGCAGTGTAATTCATTTTATCAGCTGACAATTTCCGATCGTCAACTAACACAAAGCCTATTCGTGAATTTTTTTATTTTGCTTAACAGGTATATATGCTGGAGCATGGTCTAAAGGTATGCGTCAAGGCCTTGGTGTTCGACGTTCAGCACCCTATGCCCTGGCAGCTGAATTTAATCGTACAGTACGTGCAGCCCAGTCACAAAATAGTTTACCATCAGGCACAGATTCAGAGCGTGGATGGAGGGGTACAAATAGCTCCGGAGGAGGAAGTGGTGGTGATGTTAGGAATAGTGGAGAGAGAGGACGTCCAGATGAACGCAGAAGTGGATTTGTGTTGCGCTCCACATCTTGTCCTTTACCATCCTCACAATCAAATACTTCTAGAAGTAGTTCTTCAGGTTATCGAAGTGCTACACCAACAACAGAGAAAAAGTCGCTTTTTAAACGAGGTATTTTTCGGAAATTGCGGAAGCAGAAATCAACTGGTGACCTATCTATGGTAGGAGGAAGGACAGTTGGTACATTTTCCACATGTGGAAGTGGAGGTGGTGGTTTATTTCATAGTCGGGGGCGTCGACCAGGTGGATCCTTAAGATCAAATATCAGTACTTCAAGCCAGATAACAACAAATTCATTTGGTCGTGGTGACGTAAAAGGTTTGGGAAATGGTGGACAAGGTCTTCATGAATTTATGGACGAGCCATTAGGACCAAATGTAACTGAAACCTACAGTGGTCAGTGGAATGAAGATAGACGTTCTGGATACGGTGTTGCTGAACGTTCTGATGGACTAAAGTATGCTGGAGAGTGGTTTAATAATAAAAAGGATGGATATGGAGTAACTTATCGTACAGATGGAACGAAGGAAGAAGGCAGATACAAAGAAAACATACTTGTCCAGGCCCTGAATAGAAAAAGCAAACTCTTTATGCTTCGGCATACGAAGTTACGTGATGCTATTGAAGAAGCAGTAAAAAATGCTGAAGATGCAGCAAAGAAGGCTCAGGAAAGTTCATACGAATCAGCTTATCAAAGGTAATTAATACAATCCTTTCACCTACATACATAAAATTGAGTATTCTCATTTATTTATATATGAAACTCATTCTCAATAAAATGAAATTAAAATAGTGGTTAAAGTTATAGGCGAATTCGACGTAATATTTCGTATGCTGAACTTTTTTCCATAAATCTTTTTAATATTGTTTTCGAAAACATGAAACATTATAGTTCAAATGAGGAAATATCCCCACCTCAGAAATATCCTTGAAGAGGTTGGCAGTTATTTGAAGATTAATTCATATCGTTCACGTATAGTACAGGGTTCTTTTTAGGGGAAGTATTATGATAGCTATAAAAAAAGTAGAATCTGCTACAATGATGTTTTTTCATTGTCTCTTATTGTCGTCTGATAATGGAAATTCTACCTCCCCTTTAGGACACTGAATTAGCTCCCTAAATTATACTTCTAAACAGGACGACATTTACAAAAACCATATTCTATTTGCCACTGAATCTAGATAATTACTACGTCTCTGCTGTTCAAAGTAATGTGTACAAAACCAAAGAATTTATAATCATAACTGAATTTATTACATCAGCGTCACTTGTAGAAGTCGAGTGTGTTTCTTCAGAAATATGTGTGTACACCTTGACTGCTAGTAACAAAGTACTGGAAGTAGTCAATGTTCATTTACTGTGCACAAACTCAACCACTTTTTGCTTTTAACAGTAATAAAAGTAGTCAAATAAAAACGTAATTTTCCTAATGATAATTTCGTCGTTTCACCGAAATAAACGTATCCAATGAACATTGAAAATTGCTAGGATGTTATTACTGAGTGACCGACTGGTTTCAACATAGAACTTTGCCACACTCCATGTAGCACACAAAGCAAAAGAAGAAAGTAAAAGGAAATGCAAAATAGAGGCAGTAAACAGAGATATGAGGCAAAAAAGAATAGTAATATCGAATAAAAATATAGTTTTATTGGGTATTATAAGTCACAAGGAGTGGATGCATCTCCGCCATTCAGGACGATTTTGAGCCATGTCACCAATTGTCTCCTGACGACCCCAACCAGGAAGTCTACACCTTCCTACGTGGCTGGCTTAAACTAACTGTTGTGGATTTCATTGACCGGTGCCATGTTTTGGTTTGACCAACGCTAGCTCTTTTCCAGTCTGACCCTATGTCAGCTAACATTGCCCGTCGAGGAAGGTGATGACTAGGCATGCATACGTAACACATGTCCTAACCATCTCAATAGATGCAACTTCACAGCCTCGTCGAATGATTTCCCCTCCTTACCTAGAACTCGACGCCTAACCTCAATACTGCTCACCCCATTATACCACTTCACACGGGAGATAGGACGCAGGCACCTATGATCGAAGACAGCTAATCTTTTCATGTCTTTCACTCTCAATGACCAGGTCTCACTCACAGCCATAAAGGAGGACGGAGCGGACTGCTGAGCAGTACACACGCCCTTTGATCGATAGCCGGATATCACGTCTACGCCAGAGACGGCGTAAACTGGTATATGCGAAACTAGCCCTCTGTATCTGTGCTGAGATTTCGTCAGCGATCAACCTGATGGCACTGGCTGATGCAACTTCCCAAATAAGTGAAGTGGTCAACACGCTCTACCACTTCACTCCCTATTTCTAAGCTAGGAGTCAATGGATGTTATTACTATGATTTGACGAGTTACTTCATAGTTATAAAACTCAGGACAGAACTGTACACTGAAACCATTAACCTTAAGTTTTCAGGAACTCTGTTAACTCACACAGTGCAGTAAAATGTTTTCAAGGCAGCACAACATTTTTCTACTTTAGTCAAAAAAGCGAAAATGAGCAAATGAAGATTTGATCACAGGAAGGTTAAAAGTCAACGCTTTCATTTATGATGGTACTGTATGAACTTCATTAAACAAGAAATTCTACCTTGGAAGTCATAAGTAATGCATGACCTAAGAGGGTTACATTCACTTTTATAGTGAGTACATTACCAGTGCTTCATTAAAACGACTTCCACTACTTCAAATATAATAATAAACGACTTTCGTAATTATGTGCAAGTGTTTATTCTTCTATTTTTGTTAGTTTTCCATTAAAGAAACTCCTGGAATGTTAACCAAAAGTTGTTATTTCTCTCTGCGGAAGTGATTCGTCATCACTTTAACGGTTTATATAGCAAAATGACTTACAATCGACAACAGAATTGTCTTAAAATGAATTAATACACAGATTTTCCGCTGTTGAGACTAGTTTTTATCAAAGACTGTTTCTAGAACGTTCTCACCTCATCTGAAAGTGACTGAGTTGAATATTCACAAGCCACTTATCCGTAGCCTGACAATATTTTTGGTTATCTAAAAGATGTCTTTTTTCACTCGCCAACATGTACCAGAAATAGGTTGCATTGTTTGAGTACATAATTTGAGAATGTCTTTTAATAGTCATTTAATCGTGAAACTCTGTAGCTCACTAAATTATTTTTTTCTGGTAGACAGTTTGTTTTCTACAAAAATTATCATATTAAATAACGTTCTTCCTTTAATAAATACTGAAAATGTTCTGCTAAATTGTTTTAAAATTTTTAGAGCTCAAACTGCACGGACAGTTGCTGGCACAGCCGATGCACGTGCACGCGAAGCTCGTAAACTGTCTGAAGAGGCAAGAGCCATAGCACGAGAATTTTCCCCGGAATTTGTTCAGTTAGGTAAGTTGTCTTTCTACATATAATGTTAAACTAATTTTAATTCTGTTTGTCATAGGGCACTCCAGGAAACACTAAATCTTCAGTAACTAAGGTGGTTTTTATATGTGTAACGCAAAAATAACATTGTGTACTTCCATCTGGCATTTTAGCGGAAATAGGATTAGTCTGAAAAGAATTTAGGAACACCGAATTGTTGAATGTCGGTCCCAGCCAAATGTAGAAATGCAAATGACCTGACTGACATCCGCGTGATCACCCGAGTCCATAATTGTAGGCTACAAGTGGTATGCTTCAGAATAAACGGTAGTTTGAGATACATTGACATTTTGTTCTCCTCTTTAGCGTCAAATCATATTTCTTCACTTGCTTTCTTTTACCTGAAAGCATTTTGTGACTTTTATTCGTCTGTCTCTGTTCAAACTGCCGTCTTACCGATACGAATTCAGTTTATCAAACCACATTCACTTAATATTAACTACGATACTTTGTGAGCTAAACTCTTTTGAGACATAGTGATGATCAATCTTGTATTAAATACATAAAAATCACTGTCAAGCATTTAGGTAAATTTATCTGTTTAGTCAAAGCCTTAAACCTGTATTAGAGATCTTTGACTACCATATAATGTCCCGTGGAAAGAGAATTAATTTAACATGGAAGAAAATATTCCTATTTCATTCAATTATTTATCAGGTGGATACACTTAGTTTTTTGTGCTTAATTTTATATCATCCCACTTATTTTATAAATATGCTAGGACTGCAATGGGAAAAACAAAATCCATTAATGAAAAAAGATATTTTCGGGTATAGCTCGAATCGTGAGGAGGATATTAGTACTGGGAACCGAAGACCAGATCATAACATTCTGCATACACAAGGTATGGTCAAAGAGAATACACTTGGTCCGGATAATTCAGCCCAAATTGGTAATAGTTTAGAAGTAAGCGGTGGAAGTCGTCAAGGCAGTTTTCGTTCCAGTTTCCGCCGACGTGGAAATACAACTCAAGGATTCCAACAAAATGAACAGTATTCAAATGATAACTTCAAGTATCAAGATGAAGTGCACGCGTCTAATCCTAACATGGATTCAGTAAGTTCACTTATTTCGATAATTTCTCATTATTTTTAAAGTTTAAAAAGTATTCAAACGGGTGATGACTGAAGTACAGACGGAAATCTGCACATCAGTAGAATTAAAAAAGCAGTACTCCATTACCATAAATCAGTCTAGTACGTAACTTTAAAATTTGATGATTCCTTTTGAACACGTTCAAGATAGCATACATGCATATTCATTCCATTCTCAGAAACAACCAACATGACTGACCTTCACTATAATATCTTGATTTTTCTTCAAAAAGTTACGTAGTCGCCTCCTATATGGTTTATCAGACTAGCGAACAGTCAGACGGCAAAGCGAAACATGACTACATAGTAATTTACAAAATTATTCACTAAACTGTCCTTTCATAAACTCTATAAATGCTAAGCAAATTAAGCATTCAGAATTGCAGTGAATTTAGTACATCGAAATCTGTGATTAAACATGTGCAAACTAATTACATTTTATGATGTTCACAAGCAAAAGTCATTTCAAAATGATTTTTTATAAGGGATCAATATCTAAGAAATCACTAGACAGTTCCTTCATTATAAGCTGTAAATTTCGATCAACGTGACCTGGAAACCCTAGGACTGTCAGGTCTCATCGTGAACATTTAGTAAGGACAGATCACTGGACTGAAACCCAGTCACTAAGTGGTACTCTCCCCTCCTGAAACAACTGACGACACGTTTCAAGACTGATTTTAGTTTGATGTTGCAAAAAAACTTAGATGAAACAGATTTCTTCTTTTTGTCTATTTTTGGTAGTCTAACAATTGTTCATTTAAATACATTTATCTGTATAAACTAAGTAAGATTAGTGTCTATTCCTCATGAAATTTTTTCTGTCGTTTACGGCGATTCCTTAGATCGTTTAACCTACTGAAGGAAACTATGTATAAATCAGTTTACCTTTAAAAAAAGAAATATTCTCAATTGTGTGAAGGATTATTTGTTTATTGTACTGTTGAATGACATCTAAAGATAACAGTTAAGATTAACTTGAGAGAGAAAGAGATTATCTATTCCACTGACTAATATTCTCTTCTATTTCTAGAATTTATTTATATTAACTCGGATGAACAAATGGAATAAGAGATAGTAGATAGATAAAGACGAAGTTGCAGAGCATTGTGATACTTGAATTGCACACAAATGCCGAATGTTTTAACGAGCCACGAAAATGTCAGGAGAAAAAGGGCATGCTATTCATATATATATATATATATATATACCTCGCACATACAGAAAAGCATTAGGTATAAGGTGAACTAACTTATCCAGAATGGTAACAAGAAGTGTGAAGGTGTCAAATAAAGTCCTACTGACCATGCATTAGCATTAATCAAAATTTAAATCCAAAACCTTCCTTCTTATTCATTTCTATTTTAGTTATTTCGTAATACACACAAATAAGGAATATGTGTATATATGGTTTATTAAAATAAGGCGAAGGTAAATGACACTGAAATGTCCATATTATAGCTGTCAGAAGACAACAAGGAAGCTTTTATTTTCGTCCTTTTGTCATACTCTGGAGTCTTCAGCAATAATTTGTAATATAAATAAGGTGTACAGACAACATACTGAACACAGAATAATTCTAGTCTTCTGAAGTAATCTGTTCCCGTTCAGCAAGAAGTAACCCTGTTTTTTTTCTTGACTAAGGTAGAATAAATAAATCGAATAAACAAGTGAATATATATTTTAACAGTATTTTTAAAAATGCAGAAATTTCACCCTAAATCCAACTATATGAAACTAGGCTCACTTTCTATTTTTTACTAACAGGTTAACCTGTTATACAAATACATTTCAAATCTTTCTCCTTTAGAAAAGATATTATTCAAAAGAATTCCATGGGACTGGGAAAGATAACTATGTGAATGCCGACTACAGAGGTCAGGTTAACCAACAAAATGCTGTATATGGACAGCAAAGAAGTCCAGCTGGTAGACCTATAGCTAGAGCTGCTACAACTGGATTTACTGGCTTAGGCTATTCACCGTCTGAACAACAACAGTTTGCTCAGCACATGGCTCAACATCCTCATTCTCCTTACCTCATGGCTTCTACCAGTCAACAGTTAGATATTCAAATGGAACCACAGATTAATTCCAATCGAGGATTTGAATATGGGACAATGCCTCGTACTCGTAACAAACCTACAGAAACAGCATCTCTCCATTCACCAACTGTTGATTGTGCAAGACTTATCAAAGCAGGTGTGCATAGGTCAACTGAAATCCGAATAGGCACTAGCCAACTTGTACAGCCATCCGAAACCTATCGTGCTCATGTAGGTTATGTGAATGACATTCATGACCATAACTTCCACAATATGGGAATGAATATCAATGGTGAAATCAATAATGAAGAGTCGCTCATAGACAACTGGGAAGAGGAATCTATGTTATCGAAGGAGCCTAGCTCACCACCTGAAACACCACTGACTTCCATAAACAAGGTTCGACGGAGAACCCTACCATCTATAATGACAGAACCCCCAATCCAAACCACCAGAAATGCTTGTATTAAACCAGGATCACAACTACCAAACTCTAGAATGAATACGACTACAAAGGGAACAACGCATAACTCAAACATCGGTTGTGTTATAGATGATCAGACTGTACATAGTGCTGAGAATTTACCGGCTGATGCAGCTGCAACTTACATCATAGAGAATGGAATTCGTAAACGCGTTCAGGCTGAAACCCACAATCGCCAACAAAATCAACGCAATAAAGCATCCACAGGACCATCTCAAAAAGTATCAGAAACCGCCTACTTGGAAGGAAGCAGACCAGAATGGACCACGTGAGTGTATCTTTTTATCATTATGCTATAACTTTAAAACAGTCGTCAATATTTGTGATATCGTTTAAATTTACTATTGATATCAGTTTATTTGA